TATATATATATAATAATATTCTTATATACTCTGCTTTTTTTGCTATCTCACAAACATAAGTGAACAAAATATATCTAGCAAAACTTTAATTAAGTAAATTATTGCATTAGTTTTAACATTTCATTTTGAGATTAAAGTGTGAATCCTAATCTATTTGCACCATAATCAGCTTGTGATTCAGGAGAACTGCATCTTTACATGTGTAATCTCTGCAAGCTGACCAAGCAGTCCATGAATTATCTTATTTAATTTTAGTCTAACAATATTTTTATTATTCAGCATTTAATTTTTGAACATCAACAAGAGTTGTTTTCCTTGAAAAATTTACTCCATATTAATTAATTTCACCTTATTGGTATGTTAGTAAATCACTACTTAATAGTTTAACCTGTACACATGGCTAGAAATCACAAAACCATAAAAAAATTTATTCTGTCTGATTAAATCATCCCTAATCATTTGACAATTGAATGTAAGAAGGGAGACTTCAATAGCTTTCGAATGCAATTTTGTAACTACACAATTTTCATCTTCTATTTAATATGGGAATCAGAATAGAATTAGTGTAGTAATTCATTTAGATTTTCTTAAATTAAAGTAGCAGTTGTTACAAAAGAACATACACTTCATGCCCTAAAATTAGGATTAGATCAATATTTCATGAATGCTCATATTTTTTCGATTAGCACAATCCACATTAGTTGGAATTCCAGATTATAATTCTTAGATCATCCAAAATATTCTAACAAGGATTTTTTTAATTTATGGAGTTGTATTATTTGCATATTCGACTCGGGAAAATAAAGCTCTGAATGTTAATTATATTTATTTATCAAACCAGTACAAAAAAACTACTTTTCTTACATAACAATCTACTTCAGAAAATCAAATAGTTTCACAAGCTAGAATTTCAAGTTCTAACAAAATCTGCCAACCCTTTAATTAGGACCAAAATTATTTCATTTCAAGGTTGGAAAATTTTTATTTTAACTTATTGAGATTTCGGTTCATGAATAACTAGTAGGTATTTTTATTTTAGTTGTATATTTGGTTTTAGAAAATTAACATGTTCTATTAATTTTTTTCTCTAATGATATTTTTAAGGAATTAGTATAATTCTACTAATCTTTTCTTCAGAAAAAGTAAATTTATATCATGAGCAAAGTAGCTAAACTTTACATAAATAACATTATCTCCTAATAGAAGTCTAAATCAGCATGATACGATACATTCTGCATCATTTTTTTTATTAACAATGATTACCTCCCTTACTACTGTAAAATTTAGCAAATCTTGATAAGCTGTGTATGAGGCACATTTCTTTTCACAACATTATAAATATACAAAAAAGATTTGCATATTATTTGATTTTTTTATTTGAATTAATTCTTTCCCAAAAGATTTAGTCAATAATTATAGATACCTAATCGGATAAATATAGATTAGATTCAATTCACAAGAGGAGTTACTATTTAAATGTATGTTAACAATAGATATATATTCCAGTAGTTATACATCTGATTCGTTAATCATCAAGCATTATTTTCTAATTGTCATGCAAAATGAGTCAATAGCTTTACTTTATTTCTATTTTAAAGTTACTGATTTAGAATGATGAATACGTGTTATTTAGTAATACTTTTTGGGATAATCCGAACTCTCCCATTAAATCACCTTGCCTAACAGTTCACCATAATACAAACTCAATTATGTAAGTTGAGATGATCTGAATGAAAAAATAATTTATAAATTAATTGCCATAGTGTTTTATTTTTATTTAAGCTTATTAAATCTCTTATCGAATAAATTTCTATAATTATTTTTTACTTTTTTGGCTAGAATACAATATTCAAAGCTTCAAGCAAGATGATTGTCACTGTAAAGATTTAATTAGTTTATTCTACAATTGATTCAATACAAATTGATAGTTTAAATCTTCTATTAATTTAATATGTATTTCCCACTGCTTAAAATTGAAATTCAATTTAATAATAGTAATTATATTGAAAAATTGATTTTACCAGTTAATTTTATTACATTTTTATTTCATTCTCTGTTAGTAATTACATTTTAACTTTTTAATCGATTCTTCAAATAATTTCACTTTTTTCTTAAATTTTTTTGGTTTATGATTTACAAAAAATATTTCATAAAATTATAGTGCTGAACTTAATATCTTGATTAATCAGAAAGCATAAGGATGATTCTTTTTTCCATCATTAAAATTAATATTTTCAAATTTCTTTCTAAATAATCTGAAAACTAACTTTTTTATTTAAGAATCAATAAATATTAAGCTGCTTCTATGTGATAATGCTGTTTAAACGTAAATAATTTTTTGAATTAATAAAATGTAATTCAAAATTCTTAATATTATTTAGAATTAATTCTCAATTGAGCATCTGCTTATAATTTCCTTCAATTCAAAATCCAATACTCTTCAATAGAAACAGCAGTCAAATACGCTTTATATTTACATTCCTAAAAATCAAAAGTGATCACTAAATTATTTTTACAAAAAGTTAATTTCTCTCATTTACAATACTAATTTTAGTATTTCATTATTCTCAACAAGGTAATAATTTATTATTTCACAAAACTGAAATAGATAATTAACGATTCAATAATATATTCATATTTAACTAAGATGTGAAAATAATAAGTATGATAAGAGTAATTTTTCTTTTACATTATTTCAATATATGAAAATTTAATTAATTTACGATTATTATAAAAAATAATTTATTGTGCAATTAGTTTACACGTTGTTGTTTGATGTGCTAGCATAAATACACCGTCCACTGCTTTGGACTTCAAAATTAGTTTATTTCTTGTAATGTGAATTCTTAGGCCTTGTTGAATATTTCATGGCAGATCATACATTCCTTACAATTTTCTATTTTTTTACTTTTCCTCTATCTCCTCATCATTCCTTACTATCCACCTCTTAAAGTTTTCATGATCCTTTTTTTTTACTTTTATGCAATTTTATTATTGTTATTCTAAATCATTAATTTTTAATTGGGCTTCTTCATAATTTAACAATTTATATTCTGATTCCTTTCTAATTAATTTAATTGTTTATTAAATCGAATATTTTTTATCAAATACTTCATAAATTGTAGCAATTTCTAAGAAGTCATAAATTTATTTTTTTTATTATATTGAATCTCCCTCTTTATTAATTCATCTATCTGAAATATAAATTTTGACATTCTAATAAGAGTCAATTGAATTGCAAAAGTTTTTATCTTAAAATTCTATATAATAACTTTCTAAAATTAAAGTTTAGCTCTTGAATTTCAGCAGTTTTTTCATTAGTTCTGTATAGTGAGGTAAATTATTTCTAATTTCATTTTTTATTTATGGAACTTTACTTTACTTAATTCTTGGGTCTCAATTCTCTTTAAACTTACCTTACCTCTTGCTATATAGTTTAAATTTATTTTTTTTCTTTTGATAGCCACTAAAAAATAATGACATGAAAATATATTAAATATTTTCTTATAATCAATTCCTTTTAAGTATAATATGATTGAAAGTGAAGTTTATGAGAAAGACTGCCGTCTTAATATTAAATGCCCTCATTGTGAAAAAGATATCAAAACAAATCTTGAACATGAATGTGGAGTCAATACATGGCTGATGTGCTTCTTTTTGTGTGTTTTGACTGCGTAAAATTTATCATTAGATAGTTGTTGCTGTTTTATACCATTACTAAGTAATAAATTTAAAGATGTTATTCATACATGTCCTTTTTGTAAAAATGAGGTTGGAATAAAAGAGTTTGAAATGTGCTGATATTGTATTTTGACAATTTTTGATTTTTATCTTATACTATTATAATATTTATATCTGCGCAGAGTAAAAGATTAGAAATTATAAATATCTTTTTTAAACAATTTGGAATGCTTTAATAAAAGTTATCTTGTTTTGATAAGTATGATAAAAAACATAAAAATTAAAATTTGGATTCAGGCATTTGTCAGTTATTGTTTTGATTGCTATGAAAAATTAATTTTTCTTCTAAATAAAAGAAGTAAATTTGAAATACTGATTTTTACGAGAAGGGCTTAATAAAAACACAATATTTGAAAAATTTTGATATTCATTCGAATATATATTATATTTTCATGTAGCAGTTTCCTTATAAATAATTATGAATTCAAGATTCTACTGTAATAGCAGAAGTATTATTGAACCTTTTATTTATTTTATCAAATAGATTTAAAAGTATAATTTTTTTTTTTTTATCAAAACAGATCCTTTAAATTTGGTAGTTGTTAGTAAATTAGAAAGTTAAAACAATATCCAAAATTAGGAGATTGACATGATAGTTAATTAATTTTAGTTTAGAAAATCAAATGGAAACAATGTTTAATTGAATTTCTAAATTAAACACTGTTTTTTATTTTGCTAGAAAAATAATATTATGTATTAAAAAATATTAAGCTTAATCTACTCATAAAGTTTAAATGAAAGTTAATCATAAATTGAGACTGAAATTCCAAAAAGATCATAAAAGTTATCATAAATGATTTCAATAATCAATATGAATGAATTTTTCTAATTTCCAGAGAAATTAATTTAAGATGCAACAATTATTATTAATGAATTCAGCAATGATAATATAGACATTTACATTTAAGGTAGATGTTATGAATAATTAGTGTAGATGAATCAATTTTGAAGATTTCTGGGTTTTTTACCATATTCANTTTACTTAATTCTTGGGTCTCAATTCTCTTTAAACTTACCTTACCTCTTGCTATATAGTTTAAATTTATTTTTTTTCTTTTGATAGCCACTAAAAAATAATGACATGAAAATATATTAAATATTTTCTTATAATCAATTCCTTTTAAGTATAATATGATTGAAAGTGAAGTTTATGAGAAAGACTGCCGTCTTAATATTAAATGCCCTCATTGTGAAAAAGATATCAAAACAAATCTTGAACATGAATGTGGAGTCAATACATGGCTGATGTGCTTCTTTTTGTGTGTTTTGACTGCGTAAAATTTATCATTAGATAGTTGTTGCTGTTTTATACCATTACTAAGTAATAAATTTAAAGATGTTATTCATACATGTCCTTTTTGTAAAAATGAGGTTGGAATAAAAGAGTTTGAAATGTGCTGATATTGTATTTTGACAATTTTTGATTTTTATCTTATACTATTATAATATTTATATCTGCGCAGAGTAAAAGATTAGAAATTATAAATATCTTTTTTAAACAATTTGGAATGCTTTAATAAAAGTTATCTTGTTTTGATAAGTATGATAAAAAACATAAAAATTAAAATTTGGATTCAGGCATTTGTCAGTTATTGTTTTGATTGCTATGAAAAATTAATTTTTCTTCTAAATAAAAGAAGTAAATTTGAAATACTGATTTTTACGAGAAGGGCTTAATAAAAACACAATATTTGAAAAATTTTGATATTCATTCGAATATATATTATATTTTCATGTAGCAGTTTCCTTATAAATAATTATGAATTCAAGATTCTACTGTAATAGCAGAAGTATTATTGAACCTTTTATTTATTTTATCAAATAGATTTAAAAGTATAATTTTTTTTTTTTTATCAAAACAGATCCTTTAAATTTGGTAGTTGTTAGTAAATTAGAAAGTTAAAACAATATCCAAAATTAGGAGATTGACATGATAGTTAATTAATTTTAGTTTAGAAAATCAAATGGAAACAATGTTTAATTGAATTTCTAAATTAAACACTGTTTTTTATTTTGCTAGAAAAATAATATTATGTATTAAAAAATATTAAGCTTAATCTACTCATAAAGTTTAAATGAAAGTTAATCATAAATTGAGACTGAAATTCCAAAAAGATCATAAAAGTTATCATAAATGATTTCAATAATCAATATGAATGAATTTTTCTAATTTCCAGAGAAATTAATTTAAGATGCAACAATTATTATTAATGAATTCAGCAATGATAATATAGACATTTACATTTAAGGTAGATGTTATGAATAATTAGTGTAGATGAATCAATTTTGAAGATTTCTGGGTTTTTTACCATATTCATTAACTAGAAATCTTTTTAAATAGTTCTGAATTTTTCTTTTTTTTTGAATTACCCTTAACAAATTTTTAATGTTTCTATAGAAAATAAAAGCATAGATGGTAATTCATTTATATAAATTCTTTGCAGATAAAGAAGTTAAATTGTCATCTTTTTTTCATTCATCTTAAGGCGAAAAATGGATATCTTTAAATAATTATCTCACAGAATCCAAGCTTTGGCTTAATCATTAAAATGTAAAAAGAGTAATTTAAGAAGTCAAAGAATTACTAACAAATCACTTTCCGTATCATAAACAAAAACAATAATAAAAATATTTTTCGAATGAGCTATTTGAAATGAATTAATAAAAATAAGCAGATTAAAAAGATAAAGATGAGTAAATTAATATAAAAGTTGAGATTGATAATCATGGAAAAGATATTGGTAACAAAAACAAATGTACTTCTCCTATTCCATTATACTCTTAAGGAATTCCTGGAACTGGTGGGTTACATTTAAAAGAAGAAAGCCAAATGTAGGTACAAATAACAAAATTTGCTATTTAATTGATGAAAGAGCATAGAAATGATATTGCTAGCCTAAAGCAATAATTGTAGAGTTTAAAATTGTATAAATAGCAACAAGAAGGAATATAAATTTAGATAATTTGGCTTAGATAAAAATTAGATTTTGACATAGAATTAGCAGCAAACCTATTCTACATGCAATAATAACAGATAAGTCTAATCAATAATACATAACAAAAGCCTTTGGATGAAATTATTGATTTTGATGATCTATCTCAGTAACTATTAGAAATAGCTGCTAAGGATAGGGCATATTCAGATTGTTATTAATTCATTTCAAAAAAATTTAAAAAGCAGCTCTTAGACTATACAACCTTATATTAAGTATTTCTTTTTTATATTTAGGCAACCTACGAATTGGCTGGCTAGTAGTTTGAATTAAAATTATTGATGAATAAAATATATTATAATAAATTAACATGAACGATTAATTGAATGATTGGGATTTCTGCAATCCAAACAATTTTGTCGATAGATTACCTGAGCCTTTTAGGTAATGATAACATTTAGCATAAAGATTCATTAATAAAATCATCTAAAAAGATATTCTTTTAGAAGTGTATTCTAAAGTGTTCTTAATCGAAAAATACAGATCCGATCCAAATTATGAAGGTCCCTTAAGAACTTTGCCTCCATAGGGAATTTTTGACATTTCAAATATTACTACTATAAGCTCAAATAGCTCTAATTTGCAAATTGCAGCAGGAGATTTACAAGGAAACATTGTAGTATTAGATATGAGCAAGAAAACAAAAATTTGTAAAAAAGAGATTAGCTCAAAAAGGATAAATAAAGTTTGTTTGGGAATTAGAGACGGAGCAAATGATGAATAAAAAAATATTTGCATGTAACAGTTTCCAACATTTTTAGAATAGGAGTAATAAGTCATTTAGATCCAGTAGTACAAATATACAAATATAAACCAGGAGAGAACAAAATCAACTAAATTCATTTTATATAAGTCACAAAAAATTCAACTGTTATTGGTGAGCTTCCCATGGATATCGAAATCAGCAAATATTCTTAATATATATTAATAACACAATATAATGGTAATGTGCTTATTTATAAAATACCTGAATTAAAAGTGGATTAATAATAGACAATACAGGCAACATAATTATAGAATTAAAATACACTATTACCGCCATTGATAAATCAAAAATAACTGCCTACAAAGGAATAGTAGAAATAACTAATTCCATCAAATGCTTAAAATGATTTCACTGCAACTGAAATAATTGAACCCTTCTATTAGATAAAGTTTTAAGGCTTAAAGAAAGAATAAAAATTTAATGAAATTATAAATTCTTTCAAAGAATAAAATTTTCCAAAAGAAGTTGAAGTTAAAGAAGATAAAAAAAAATAACAAGCTAATACTTAACCATAAAAGAAATAGGAAACAGTTTAATAGATAAAAGAAGAATTAGGCTTAGAAGAAAATAATAATTTACTAATAATTAAGCATTAGTCTAAAGATGGTTATGATGTAAGCGATGAATATCCTCTTCAGAAATTTAAGCCTTATTGTGAGTTTCTATATGAGACAATTAAAGTTTAATAAGGGTCAAAGGCATTTGACAAAGTAATGATTTTGATATTTCATAGTACAAATAATATGAAGTTGTTGTTGGAATAGTTGTTGGATGGTCAAACACAACAAAATTAGAGCTCCATTACTTTAATTAACCAAAAAAAAATAATTTACCATAATATTTAATTTCGTAGTTAACTTAAGATTAAGATATTAAATTTCAGTTACCAATAATTAATAAAAAGAATGAAACAAGATAAATTGAAATTCCATTGATATATCCACTTTCTTGCTTAGCGATTTCTAAAAATTTTTCCTTATTAGGGTTAGGATTATAATAAGGGTCTATTTTGATTTATGATCTGATTTTCTAATAAGAAAGATTTTATCTTGACAAACATTAAACAATTGTGAGCCATATAGAATTTTGTGAGAATGAAAGACTTGTGAGTTGTTCTTACGATGGCAGCGTTCATATATATAATACGGTTGAAGGGACTACTTTGTGCAAAAGAACAAATTAATTTCGCAAAGGAACCAAAATAAATTATGAGGAATAAAAACAAGGATTTTGGAGAATAATATCATTATCAGTAAGTAGCTCTGGAATAGCAGTAGTGTAGGATGCCGAGTCAGAAGTAAGATTGTATGATGTTTGGAGAGGAGAAAAAATTGCTAAATTATCTCCTGTCTAAGTTATGGATGATTAAAAAAGAAAGTGGAGTAACTAAAAAGTAATTCTTAAATGTTTCAGAAGTAAAATATAATTTATTATTTTCCTAGATGAAATTCTGATTTCTGCTTAAGTTACTACATAAGAACAAAACAATATTTAAGATTAAATTCTAACAACAGTGTAGATCTTTAAGATTTTTGATAGTCTAGTAAATTTATTTCCATCATTATCAAATGTATACAGAAAAGGAGTTGAAAAAGAAAAAATTTTAAATTTGTTTGAAAAAATTCCAAAGTCAGAATTATGGAATGCACAGTTTGAAGTTCCAAATTTAAATGTATCTCATCAAAATGTAGCATTAAAAGTTCCCGGTTAAGATTCTAAAACCAGAACAGGATCTTAAATCTTGCATAATCAAAGCTAGCACAGTTAACCGTATTTATATTTATTTAAATAGAAAATTGAATCAAAGTAAAACATCATAACAAAAATTGAAAGAAGGTGTAAAAGATTCTCAGGCTGTGAATTTATAACAGGATATTTATGAAAATAGATCTGCCTCTTTAGTAGGATCTCTACATAAATCTGTACATTCTGATAAATTTGATTATAATTCCTCTTTTAGAAGCACTAATTCACCTTAAAATAATTTAAATTCGAACAAGACTCAAAAGAATAATTCAGCATAAATAGGTCTAACTAAAGAGATGCTTCATCCAGAAGAACATTTATTAGAAAAGTCTGAATCATAACCAGCTTAATTGATATTTGAGAATTCTTCTATGGTAGAGCATTGTAGATTAAGGAATTCTGAAAAACAACTAAGATCTGAAAAGGTCACCTAATCCCTTTTAAAGTTGGGTTAAAAATTAGCCCTTGAAGATGAAAAAATGAAGCTTTAAATCAGATATAGACAGCTTTAAAAAGCCAAGTGATATGCTTTTATTTTATTAAATCTAAATCACATGATCAAGTTAAAAAAAAAATAGCCGCTTGCTATCCAAAAAAGTATGAATTTTGATGAAATCTACTTAAATTCTTCTTTGTTCATGCATAAATAGTTATTTTTTTTTAAATGCTATCGAAATTCAACAATTATTTAATAATTAAATTCTTCATATGGAATTTTTCTCGGATCTACTATCTTGTTTTTTTAGATGATTATTTATAATCGATTAAAAATTTTTTCATAGCTATTTTTTAGAAAATGGCACAAAGAGTTTTCAACTAAAGCCGAAGTATAAAGACTATCCTGATCTCCAGAAAATGAAATCTTCACAATGTGTTAATTTTTTGCCAATTAAACATAATTTTCATCTATTTATTAAAAGGAAATCTTATTTTTGTTTTTCGAATACAATTATTTAGTTTACAATCCCAAATTAATTTTCAAAGTTCCAATTTTTGATGCTTTTAATCGAAACAATATTACATAGAGGAAATATTAGGGTTTTAAATGTTCTTTTATGATTTATTTTTCATCAAATTCATACTCTGAATTTATTCAGCTTTTTGTTCTTAAAATTTAAGAATCAAATAGTGGTTTTCAGGTTTAAAAACTTTAGTTGATTAATTTTATGGTAAAGTTTATTATTTATTTTCTTTATTTTAGGGGATATTTTTTATTAAGTGTGACTAATATGATGAAGTCTGTTTCTCATTTTCTGAGTTTGATTATTAATTTAATCAATAATCATAGATTCTCATCTATTTAATGATATTTTACTTTATTGGTTCTGTGTAATCAAGTTCTAAATTGTTCTCAGTAACAAACTTTGTAACCAAAATATCAGGAATAGAATCTTGAAATATATCGATTTAGTTATATTTATTATCTCCTAATTAGATTTTTAATGTGATTAATGGTTCACTATGAATTTGATCTTATACTATTTTATTTGATAAATTTTTCTTCATGAATGTAAAATGGCTCATTAACGAATATTTTTTATTTAATAATATCAAAATTTGATTCTAATCTTAAATATCAAACATATTATAAATTATATCAAATCATTAACCAACCTATTCTTAAATATCATTTAAAATTTAAAGTACTTTTTCGCTTTATTATTTAATCCCATCAATCTAAGATATAAAATATATTTTACTCTTTGTTATAAAGATTAAATTTTTCTTTCTTCAATCATTTATTAATCTTCTAATTCTTCTTGAAGTTCTAGAGATTATCCAATAGGGAACCATGAATTATCTTAATTTTTTCTTTTATTTGCAATATATGTTTCTATTCCATTATATTCACTTTTATTTTTATTATCCATGTAAGCCATATAAAAGACATAATTCCACATATAATGACTTTATTTGATATGTTTATTAAAACCGTCATCTGATTTCATGTCAAAAATTTCTCTGTCAAGACCACAAATAAAACAAATATTTTCTTTGTCATCCTCTTTAGCTAATTACTATTCTCTCAATTCACCAAACGTATCAATAATAATACCAGAAAATATTTAAATGCTGATCATCTAGATGAGTATATTATTCAATTAATCAAAAAAAAATCTTCCATAACTATAATTTGCAGGATCTTATGGAAAATTCCCATCAAACCATCCTCCTATTCCTCCATTATTTTTAAATGCATAATCAAATGTTGAAAGAAAACAAACTAATAATGAATCACATTTTCCTATATATAATGATTATAATACCATTTGTGTATATGTCAGAAAACAATAAATATGCCATTAAAGTGAAGTAATAATTCATTAATAGCACCAAAATAAATGTCAAACCTAAAGCTACTTTTGGCTCCCAAAATGATTTTATAATATTTCTTAGAGTAGGATATCTTAAAACCACTTCACTTAAATGAAAAGCAAAAAAGAATGGATGAACTAATGTTGCTATAAACGCCAAAACACCATATGCCAAATAATAAATCATATCTATATTTAATAAAACCTTAACCAAGCAAAAACCCACCATATATAATTTTAAAAAGAATCTTATGATCCAAATTTAATCCTCCTTAATTAAATCCTTACTTTGATTCCATGCTTCCTTAACATACAATGGTCCTTTCTTAAGAATAAAAAATGAAACAACAAAGCATGAACACACAATCATGCCAATCCCACAATATTAAAAAATTGACATGGTTTCTTCAACAGAAAGCATTTTTAAAAATTTTGGTGAAT